CCTGTCATCTCTTTTTCTTCCCTCTTGCAGTGTATCTGTCTCGTAGAATTCCCTTTGCTTTTAAAATAAGAAAAACATTCTCTTCTATGCCTGGAAGGCTTTACTTGGTTTGATCCCCCAAAGTCTCTCAAGCCTCATCTCCCACTAGGCTGCTTTTTGCTTTCTTTCAACCCATGCCAACCTTTATTCAGTGACCCCAGCCCTTCCCCACACCCTAGCAGGGCTTTCACAAAGGCTGTTCCTCGGCCTGAAATGCTCTTCCTTCTCTTGTGTCTTCCAGTTAACTTCAACTTATTTTTGTATCTCGGTGGGAGCATTCTCTCCTCAGGGAAGCCTGCTCCTCCTTCAGGGAGGTGGCCAATCCACCCCTCCCCTGCAGCCAGAGCCTCACAGCCCCTCCCTTCTCCTGGACAACACAGGTCAAGGTTGCGGTTTTCCATTTGTTTGTAAGATGATATGAGTAATGACCAAGAGCTCCATGAGGATAGGGGTTAGGTCTGCTCTTGCTCACCATTGTTTCTCCACTACAGAGCTGGGTGCCTGACACATAGTAGGTGGTCAATTAAGAATGTGGCTGCCCAGGGAGAGAGACCCAGCAGACATCAACACAATTAGGAGAAACAGACTGAGACTGAAAGCCCTGATTCCCTCAGAGGTGGGAGCCTAAGCAGTGGGCATAGGGGGGTGTCCGGTGGAGAAGAATGGAGAAGAGGGTGGAGGCTCCTCCCAGAACACCTGAGGCCGTGCCAGGGTCCTTCTGCCTACCCCCAGGCCCTAATGCAGGAGCCAGGCCTGGACTGGGACGGCTGGGAGGCTCCTGGGTCCAGCCACTCCCACTCGGGGCCACTGGGGCTGAGCTAAGTGGAAACAAATGTTCTCTGGCTGTTCCCAGCCCAGTCCTGGTGGGCGAGCAGCCCCTCCCTCTCAGCCCCTGCTCCCCTTCCCCTTCCCCTCTCCCTCCTCAGAGCCTCTGCTGACCACCCCCTTCAGTTCTTTCTCCCTTTGATTGATGGGGTGATTGGAAATTTGGGGCATAGGTAGGATTGGGAGATTTGGGAGATGTGGTGCAGGTAGGCTGTGTGGAGAACCTGGGGGGCGTGGGAAGTTCCCTTGGACAAAGGCCCAGAGGGAGTCTCAGAGGAAACCTGGCCTGTGAGGCAGGGATCCAAGAGGTTGATGTGGAAACTGGGCATTTGAGCTCCCCCCACCTTGGCTGGAAAGCGCACTGCCCTCACTTCTGATGGGCTGGAGTGGACTGGAGTGGAGCTAGACAATACAGGGGTATGGAAGGGAGAGGAAGGCGTCCCTTTTTTCTTTCTTCTTCCCTCCATCTCTCTAGAGGGCCAACCTTTCCTCTCCTGGTTCTCCTGGGATCTAGAGACCCAGGGGCCTTGGGAATTCTCAAGTCTCACCACCACCCCGAAGTAGGCAGTTAGGTCCCCTTGCTGGGGGAGGAGGAGGGAAGGCGGTGCAGAGGGAGGGAGAGAGAGGAGGGTTACTGGGAGGGGAAGGGTCACAGGCCCAAATTCCTGGGCTCCTGCAGCTTCAGTCATTCTGCGAAACAAAGAAGCAGAGAAAGTGATTTAGAGACAGATACAAATAGAAACCGAATTCTGGAGATGGGAGAGACGTGAAAAGACACGGGAAGACGGGGAGAGAGGATCCTACAGACGGAGGGCTCTGCTTTCGCCTGCAGCGACTCCGATGTTATCTCTCTCCAGCTGCCTCTCTCCCCATCCCCAGTCTCCACCTCTGCTCCTCCCCCCTCTCCCCTCCCACAGCCAGGCATCCCGGGGCTCCTTCCCCCTCTCTCTTTTGCACCGGGGCCTAAAAGTGGAGTTAAAACGTTCTCAGAACTAAAGGCTGAGCAGTAGAGGAAGAGGTGGAGGGGGCTTGAGTGCCCAGAGAACAGACAGAGGGGGGGATCGGAGTGACAACACCCCCCCCACGCTGCCCCCTTCTGGGTTGCTGTGCTCCAGTCTTCTATGAACACTCCTCCACATGCATGTCTGTGCAGAGGTGGGGTGTGTTGGGGGGCGGGGGTTCATGGGCATGTAGTCTCTAGGGAGGCAGGCATGTGTCTCAGCCTGAGCCAACCCATCTGTGTGTCCATCTGTACCTGTGGGTGAAAGTTATCCAGCACGTCTCGGGAGGGGCAAGGGTGTCCTGTGGTTTCTGTGGGGTTATCAGGACGCCTGTTCCCCCTCAGGTGTGGGTGTGTGCGGGTGTGCACATGTGCACACAGCTTCATCTCTTAGTACCTTGGTCTCTATCCCCCAGCCCTGGTCCATGAAAAGACTTCTAGGGTGAGACTGCGGGCCTGAAGCCTCAGACACATGTGAACTTATCTCTCTAAAGGTTTGGAACGCAGAAAGGCAGAAGTCATTGCTCTGGTTTCTGCCCAGATGCCAGCCAGCCTCTAGATGGGGGTGCAGAGACAGCAACCGAGAGCCAGCAGAGCCCAGGCCGGCCCATCACAGACTCCAGCAGACCCCTCCCCTGCCCCGGTGTTTCTGCAGGCTCTACTGGGCCAACAGATTCTGCAAGGGGACTGGGTGAGGGGAGAGGGTTTAGGGAAGCCAGGGATGGCCAAATATTCTCTAAGATCTGGCCAGAGAGAGTGCTGCAGGAGGGGTGGGGCGATCTGTGTGTGTTTGTAGGAAAGGTGGGGGGTGGGGGCAGAAAGGCCGCCTGCGGGGGAGAAGGCTTCTTGGCAAACGCCCCAGTTTCCTGCGCTGATCCCTGCTCCCTGCCACTGCTCCCAATTCTGTTGTTTCAATAACATCATTTTTATCCACCCCACAGAGAGACTGTGTCTTAGGAGAGGGAGGCAAGGGGCAGGGTTAGGGCATGAGGGGGTGGTAATGGAAAGAGGCTGGGGTCTGGAGACAGCAGGGACTAGATTTGGGGAGCTCCCTCCTCAGGCAGAGGCAGGGCGGTCCCAGAGCCCTGGTCCCCTGATGACAAAGACAAATACATTAAAATTCTTGCCTCGGAGAAGAATGCAGGATAGGGAGAGCATTTCATAATCTGCAATAACAGTAGCAGGGTGGGGGCAGGGGTGGGTAGGGGACTCAGAACCCAGGCAGTGGTTCCCAGGGGTCCGGTCACTGGCCACCTGCAGCCTTTAGGAAGCCCCAAAGCTCTCCAGCTGCCTGTTGAGTACCATCTGGCCTGAGTGGGTACCCAACCCGGGTATGTCTCTGAATGTGCAGCGTCCAGAGTCGGCACTGCCCTGCAGAAACAGCAACTGTGTACAAAATAGGCGCAGGGACCATGGGTGACAGCTGGATGCTATGAAAGGCTAAAATGGGAGGGGGCAACCCTTGGGCCTCATGTCCCTCACTGTCTCCCTCAGCTACCAGGCGACCTACCCAGTGTCCCTTCCCCATCTCTAGAGTGCTCCAGCCTCCTCATCAAAATTCTCTGTACCCAGTACAGGGGATTATTACACTGACACCGTCTCGACACCACAGCGGTGGGGTTGGGCTCACAGAAACCTAGGAGCCTCCCTGTGCACCTAGGGCAAAGTTTCTCCATTTTTGTTCTCCAGTAGCTCATCCATCCTTCCCCAGATCTGCCTCCTTCCCTGAGCTAGGCATCTATGGTCTTCTGTTACAGCCCCTCAACCCCCTAGCTTCGTCTCTATTCACTTGTTCCCCCTCTCTGGGGGACTCAATCTTGCCTTCTCTCTGCTCACCCAAGGATGTTATCTCTCTGGGCAATGGCCTCACTCCCAGAGTTCAGGTGCTATCTCCACCCCAGACAAGACAAGAGCTTTCCTCTGGGTGCCCGAAGTTTCTACTACTTGGGACATCCACACCCACACCCCACCAAGGGTGATGCCATTCTAGATGGTGGTGATAGGGAGACTGGCCCTTGCTGTGGAATGTCCTGCACCACCTGTCCCTAGGCACCCCTGGGGCAAGCAGGCGGAGGGGAGGAGCAGGGACTGTAGCCACTGCCTGTACTGCTTGGCTTGATGAATGGAGCTGTCCCTCCTCCCCACAGGCCTTTGATCTCCCCCCAGTTGGGGGGGGGGCAGGGGCATCAAAGACATTTTTGTGGCATTAGAGAATCAGATAAACGCCATCTCACCTGCAGCTGGCTCTTCCACCCCTCCTGGCCCCGGCCAAGTTGGGGAAGGAACGCGAGGCCCGGCTGCAGCGAGATCTGCCCTCCTTATCTCTTGCGAGTCTGCAATCCCAGCTCTCGCGCTCGCTTACACGTGCGAGCGCTGGGGCGCAGGCCCTCAGGAGGTTCCCCGTGGCTGTCTAATCTCCGCTTCGCAGCCCTCCCCCGAGCGCGGGCTCCGAGAGGAGAGGCGGGGTGGCCGGGGAGGGAGCGAGAGTGCAGGCCTAGGCTTCCTCCTTTCCTCGAGAAAAGGCTGAGAAAGGGGCGTGCAGCGCGAAGGCGGGGCCGGCAGGGGGTGAGCCCTCCTGAGTCCGCCCGGTCCGACGGTCGAGTCGGCGGCACCCCTCCCCGCAGCACCCAGCGCCCCAGGCGCACTTCCTCTCCCGGCCCCCGCTCCAGCATCTCCCTCCGAACCGCCCCCCCCAACTCCCTCATTCCTGGGAAGTTTTCTCTCTTTACAGTCAACAAACCTGTCAAACGTCTCCCTTCCAGCCCGCCCCCCATTCCCCATCTCCCCCCCTCACTCCTCTCCACCCTGCTTCCCCGCCTCTCCTTGCCCCCGACTCTGCGCGGCGGCGGGGGGCTCCCAGTCCGCGAGAGGCGAGAGGCGAAGGGAAGGGGCGAGGCTGGCGGGTCCCGCCGCCACGGGCGCGCTCGGGCCCCGCCCCGGGACCTCGCACCCGCCCTCCGCGGAGCTCCGCGCCTGCAGCCCCTGGGCGCACGGCTCCCTCCCGAGAGTCCCGCCGCCTGTCGCAACTGCCACCCCACCGCCCCCCTGCCCCCCGCCCCCGCCCAGGCCCCGCTCCCCTCCCACCCCCGCCCCCGGCTCTGATTTCTTCTCCCGAGCGAGCTCGGCGGGAGACACAGGCGCTGGCGGCCCCGTCCGCTCTCCGCCTCCGCCGCGCCCTCCTCGCCCGCGATGGGCCCCCCCGCCGCCGCCCGAGCCCTCGCCTCCCGGCCGCCGCCGCCGCCGCCGCCGCGCTCGCCGTGAAGCCCGCGCCCCCGCGCGCACCGGCCGGCCCCGCAGCCTCGCCCCCTACGGCACCGGCCGGCGGCAGAGCGCTCACGATGCTGCCGCCCGCGCCCTCCCTGCTCGGGCTGCTGCTGCTGCTGCTCCTGTGCCCCGCGCACGTCGGTGGACTGTGGTGGTGAGTGCTGCGTCGGGCTGGCTGGCCCGGGGCGGCTCCTGGAGCTCGGGAGCTTCCGGGGGGCTTCGGGACCGACCGGGGGGCTCCGAAACGCGCCCCCGCTGCCTCCGGGCTCTACCTGCGAGCGGAGCCCAGCCCCGGGGCTGCAGGAGAGGTGCCGGGAGGTGCGCCGCTCGCCTGTCTGCCGGCCCCGCCTGGGCCACTTCTAAACTGCCCCTCACACGTCCCTAAGCCTCCGCTCCGCGCTTTCTGCTGTATTTCTTCCTACCTCGCGCTGCACACCCTTCCCCATCCTCCCCCTACTCCCTCCGGTTATGCGCTCAACCCAGGTCCTCAAGGAACTGGCACGTGGGTAGGAAAGAGCTACCGGCTGCACGTGGGGAAGGTCTGTAGTCAGAGCCGAAGAAAAGAGTGTGTGAGGAGGGCCCTGGATTTAGGGGAGGAGGACTGGATTTGTGGGAACGAGAGGAACAAGGTGGGAAGCCACAAGGCTGGGAGGGTCAGATAGCTGCCTCTTGCCCGCCTTACTTTTGCCTGACAACCCCCCAGCTTCTCTCTGAGTGCTCCTTCAAAGTGGACAGTAGCGGCGAGGGGAAGGAAACGTAAAGGGAAACTGAGTCAGGACCCCAGCTTTCTCTACGTCCTCCTCCTGAAGCAAAGAAGAGGAAGAAAGACAGGAAAGGGACCCAGGCGCCCGGCCCTTCCAGACGTGGGTCCGGAATGAAAAAATACAGCTTCGTAGGTACTGGGAATCGTGAAGTGTCCCCGTGGAAGGGAGGGGGAGGCCTGGCCAACCAGGGCTCGGGGACGTGGCCTCCAGACCCGGCCCTACCTAGAGCAGACACCTGTGGAGCTAAGGTCTCGGCAACTTTGAGTCTCGGGGTTGGACAGCAACTGGGAAAGTGGGTGCCGGGCCGGGACCTCTCGGAGATCCGGATCCCGTAGCCTTTTTTCCGCGTCCTTGTCTCCCCAGAGCTGCAAAGACCCGCCCGGAATAGCTGGGTGTTTAAAGAGGAGGGACTTGGACGGGATCGCTGATCATCAGCCAATCCTAAGAGAGCAGAGTCTTGTCTATTTGCATAGCGCCACATCATTGGCTGGATTCTCGACCCTCCACTCCTCCCCCACCCCCGATTTGGAAGGAGAGGTGGGGCAGGCAGATCCCTCTCCTGCAGGGAGATAGGGAGCTGGATGCCCACACAGCGAGCTGCTGGCGGCGATCCCTCCTTCGTGATGCGGGAGAGAAGTCCCTCGGGGGTGTCAGTGAGGGAGCAAATCGAGGATGACCCAGGTCCCGGCCAGAGGACTTGCGACCTTCGATCCTGGCTTAGGATAACTTAGGATAATAATAGTATCAAAAAAAATAATAGTATCAGTTTTGCAATAGACCTGAGATCCAGTCTCAGCCATCTGTTAAGTCTGTGACCTTGGATAAGTCACTTCTCTCTGCGCCTCAACGTCGCAACTGTAAAATTGGGAGACAGCCCCCCCCCCATCTGCGGCTGGATAGGAGGATTAGGAGGGAGGACCTACAAAATGATCTGACGTTGGGAGGTGCTCTGTAAATGTTAAGTCCCCTCTTCCACGCTGCGGGTTCTCCAGACTAGAATCTGTAGGGGTGAAACGGAGGATTAATTTAAGTTTAAAATCCAGAGTCCCAAGCAGAATTTGTCAAGGGATCTCTACCTTGTTTTCCAGACTCATATTTCCTAATTTTGCCCTTTCTTGAGGTATGGAGACAGGCGTCTCTCCCTGGTGGTCCTTGCCCTCCCTCTACTCTTCCTTGTCTCCAAACCATTGCCATCCTTCCAAGTAGAATACCACATCCTCCCTAACACCGTCGCTTTGTATTTCCTCCTCTGCCTTCTGTGTGCTCCCACTGCACCCCACGCATTGGGCCACCAGGCCAGTTACTGCACTTCACTTCCCCTCTGTGGTCCTTCTTCCCTGCTCCTGGAGGGCAGAACCTTTGCCTTTGGGCCCTGGAGGCTGAAGGTGCCGGCGAAGTTTTGTGGAGTGCTGCTGAATTGGTCAATTCAGCTTTCTGAAACTTGTGTCTGTGGGGGTTCCTTGGTTTAGGAGGGGCTGCTGTGTGGGTGACAAGCCAAAGGGGGAAAGACCTGGTCTCTGGGAGACTGACCCTGGAGCTGGGGAAGCAGAGAGTGGGGGAGGAGGTGAGGAGGGCAGGTGTAGGAGAACACAGGGGCCTTCATGGCTGCAGCTGCAGGGGGAGCGGGGTGAAGAGTGAGGGGCTGGGTGATAAGGTGTCCGGCAACTGCCTCTCTCAGCTGCTTCTCAGAAAGAACCTGCCTCTCCCACCTGCACTGGCCCCTTTGCTCTCCTCTGTCTCTGACACTTCATTCCTTTGGTCTGAGCCCAGATTCCTTTCTCAGGATCTTTGACTCTACTTGCTTGTTCTCTTGTCCCTACCCCACCCCACCATTGCTCTCTAAGATCTGGCTTGGGCTGGAGGGCTGGACCCAGCATCCCCAGTGACCTGCCACTCCTTGCCCACCCCTCACCCCTGTGCTGCCCCCCTACCCCAGCTTTACTTTGACTAAGACCTTTATCAAGCCAGGAGCTTCCAGGCTGTTCTCTGATGTCTAGGACCTGCTTGATGGCTCTCTTTATCCTGCTTCTCAGAGAATGCTAGCCAGGCCAGAGCTCTAGCACTAGACAGGAAAGCAGCAGCCCCTTGCAGTCCACTCTGACATTCTAGTAGCAGCCAGAGGGGAACTCTGAGTGACTGGACTGTCCTGAGTAGGAAAGGAGGGTCCTGTAGGGGAGTGATCCAGGTACTGGAATAGGCTCAGGTACTTGGCTCTGGGTTCCAGAAAAGTTTCCCTTTTTTCACCCTCCTCCTCCCTCCCCCTCCATGCAATGCATGCTTTCTAAACTCTGCCTCCGGCCTCTCTGTCTCTCTCTCTCCCATCTGTAACCATATCTTTGTAAATCGCAGAATCCCAGATTCCAGGACATTGGCCAGGCTCTCTTGAGGTCATCTCGTCCAGCCCACTGCCTCCAGGCCATCCAGCCTGCGCTCTGGCCCCGACAGATCCCATTTTGAGAGTGAGGCAGAGAGGGAAAGTCTGCAGCTTCCCAGTCACCAGCTCCCACCCCTTCCAGCCTGCTCTCCGAGCCCTTCCCACCCTCCCCCAGGAAGTTCTTCTCAATGTCTGACCCATCTTTATTTATGCCTTCAATCAGTGGTTGTGGAAAATAGCTCACTCTCACAGAATAGCCAAATCAATCTCCCTTCTCTCTTCCTCTTTCTGTTTTATATTTTCTATGAAAGAAACCCTCCCCCTTGTTCTATGAGCAAAACAGCACCCAGTCTCCCTCCCTTCCCCCATCTCATCTTGCCTTCCCCCTCCCACCCCACCCCGTTATGGAAAAGAAACAGGAACCCAGGAACCAGGCCTGGAGGCCCGAGGACAGCCTCATCTCTGCCCCACAGGGAGTCAGGGAAAGGACCCAGGCTTCTTCCTGACACCCAGGTTTTCCAGCTGAGACCCCACCTCCCCACTCCAGGCTGGGTTTGGCCATCCCCTTCCATGGTGTCTTTATCTGACCCTTTGTGGCCAGTCCTGTGGCTGGCCCCCGTCAAGCTCAGGGTGGGGTGGAGAATGGGGGTGGGGTGGCCACCCAGTACCCCCCTCCAGGCCTCCCGTCTTGGCAGCTTCCCCTGGAGGGAGACAATGAGGCTGTGAGCAGAAAAGGGCAGGGGCAAAAGGAGGCTGACTCTATCCGGGCCAGAGCATGCCCTGAGCCCACCAGAGTCCTGGCACTGTGACATTTCCTGGTGGGGGGGGTGGGCCCCTCCTGCCCCGTTCTCATCGGAAGCCAGGAGTTGGTGGGGGGAGGTCAGTGGGAGGTTTGATCACCAGGGCCCAGCGAGGGGGATTCCAGAATGTGTACTTTGATGGAGAAATGCAGCTGTGGAGGGGATGAGGCGAGGGTGGGGCGGGCAGCCGGCGGCCGTGGTCAGGCTGGCAGCAGGGCGCCGGGCCAGGGAGCAGGAGGCGCTGGGGCACTCAGCAGCCTGTCCCCGGGGGCTGGGCAGAGCGCCCTCTAGCCCGCGTCCTCCTCCCCACGGGGCGGGTGCGGTGAGACCCTGGGTGCTTCCCCCTGGCCGCCTGAGGAGGAGCTGAGGGAGGGAAAGGTCGCTGGGAGGGATCTTCTGTTTTCCACCTGGTGTCCAAAGCTGGTTCCTCCGGCTCAAGCCCTTCATTGAAGCCAGAAGTTAGATCTAGAAAGGACTTGGAGATCATCTAAGCCAGTCTTCTCCCTTCTGGTTGAGAGTCCAGCGAAGTCCGGGGACAAGAGGGGACTTGCCTGAGGCCACCCAGAACGCAGGCATCAGGGCTAGAGCTGGGAGTCCACCTCCAGCTGTGTACCTCGCCCCTGTATGCAGCGAGGGCGGGGGTCAGGAAGGGGGTAGAAGGCCTTCCACAGGCACCTTCTGCTCCCCACCGCCACATGGCTACTCTCCACCTCAGGATGGGAGAGCAGAGACACGTGACAGGTTGTCCTCAGAGGCTGCAGTGGGGGGCTCAGTGTGCCCACTCCTCTGCCCCCCAGCCCTGACTGACAGGGAGCCCCCTCGACTGACGAAGTCCCATCAGGGAAGGGAGAGCCCCTGCGTCTCCCAGGAGCTATGAGAAGGATCACCGGGTGAGGAGGTGGGAAGGGCAGTGTCCAGCACAGGGCAGAGGAAACCAAATTGGGCCAGCGTGGGAGAGGGCTGGAATGGGGTGTCTGGTGGGTGGTGGGGAGGCAGGGGTTAATGGAGCTGGGGCATCACTGGCTTTGATGTGGTGTTTGGGGTGGGGGAAGGGGCTGGGGGAGGGGGAGCAGTAATTATGGAGTTAGACAGAGCAGGACAGGACAGGCGGGCGGGCACAGGCCCGGGCCCAGCCGCCTCAGCAGCCGTCAGGCAACATTTTTTTGCCCCTTCTCCACCACCCACCTCCCCCACCCCCATGCAGCCCCCACCCACAGCCCCAGGGCTCAGGGCTCCCTCTGCTGGCTTCTAGGAGGTGGGGGTCAGACTAGGGACCCTGGGGGTGAGGGTGAGGAAATGGGGGGGTTGGCCATGAGGCCCTTCAGCAGAGGCTGGACATCAAAATGGTCTGTGATCTCCTTGGCCTCAAAAACCCATCTAGTAATTCTCTCTGGGGAAGGGGAGGGTCCTGGAGGGGGGCTTCTGGTCCAGGGGCCCGGCAGACAAGGGAGGATGAAACACAGGGATCGAAGCTGAGCCATAAGGGCAGAGCATTGGAGAAGAGGGTGTTCTCACCAACCCACAAATACTGCCTGCACTCCTACTGCTTGCCCCTTACGGGGCAGGTCCAAGAGATGAATATGGGTGTATGACCAGGAAGACAAAACCCACTTGCTGGGTCTCATTCTCTGGACAGGCTCTTTTCCTGTGCACCAGAGAAGCAGTCAGGTATCATTTATTTCCATTTCACAGTTGTGGAAACTGAGGCTCAGAAGGTGAGGTCTCATTCATTCGACAAATATTAAGTGCCAACCAGGCAAATGGCAGAGCCCAGATCCAAACCCCAGGCTCAGCCTCCCCAAAGTCTGAAGGTGCCCTCTTGATGATGTTATGCTTCCTCGTGACATCTTTGTCTTTAGTATGTCTTCAATCTAAGGGGAGAGAGATAAGATGAGAAAACAAGACAAAATAGTTATGCCACAGGCAGGACAACAAGCACCCCCAAATAAGCGACACCTGAGGCGATGTGGTGGTGGTGGAGTGGCTCCTTGGGGCTAGTGAAGTGAGCTTCGAGATATGCTGGGTCTGATTTTGCTGACTTAGGGGTTGGGAGGGGGTGGCTCTGAGTCCCAAAAGTTTAAGGTGTAATCTGGATGGATGCAGAGTTAGCCAACACTGCTAAGAGTAAGGAAGGGCTGTGTGGAAGAGGGCATGTGGGGTCATCTGAGGTTTTCTGATACCTCATGTGGTCATTTCCCTCCAGCTCCTTTGGTTTCAAAAATATTCACCTAAATTTCTTGGCAGTAAGGATCCCTCCTCTGAGTGACCTCCCTCCCAGGGTCAGTCAACTCCCTCCTTCATGTTCATCTGTATAATGAGGGGAGGGAAGGTGGTAGGGTAGGACTAGGTGACCTCTGGCATTCCTTTGGTTTTCTGAATCTGGAGATGGAAAGGTAGGTTAGGCCAGAACCTGGGGCCCCCAGGGCTTAGATCTACAGATGTTGCCAGTAGGAACTGGCTGGCCCCTAATGCCACCTCACTTGACTCTACCAATGAAGGTCCCTGGGAAGGAGATCTTGGCACAAGCCAAGCCAGTTAAAATGGCCAACCCTAGGCTTGTCCCTTCTTGTCCGCATACTGATTTCTTTTAGGGCTAGCTTCATGTTTTTCTATGCCCAGGAATGGCTATTTGATTAGGATCTCAGATTCTACATACTATGTATTATATATTTCCTACCACAACTGTGCTCCAGTTCCCCAAACATGCAGATGCTCCCAAATGGGCACATCTTCCCTGGGCTGACCCCAGGCCAATGCTGACTCAAAGGCCAAAAAAGAGCTGATTCCCTAAGGAAACAGAAGGGAAGAAAAAAGGGTAAAGGAAGAGGGGAGATGGAGGAGTTGGTTTTTGATGTGAAGTCAAGTGTCAACAGTAGGGGGATAAAGGGAGCTTCTCATGCTACCTCCTCCTGTTTCTGAAGCCCAGAGAGGGACCAACTTGCCCACAGTGGCTCAGCTTACCCAGAATTAACAGAGACCAGGGTATAGAAATGAGGCTTGATGCTTTGTCCAATGCCCCCCTGCTACTCTTCTTCCGGAGTTTTCTTTCCTGTGACTTGGGGATGGGAGCGAGGACTGGAGGGCAGGGAGCAAGCCGGTCCCTTGAGATTCTAGCTGCTACTACTGCCCATCCCTCCTCCTGACCAGCTTGTAAACAAGCTTTGTTCCCAGGCAGCCAGCCAGCCAGCCTGGGGAGCCAGACCCAGACCAGCAACTGACTCTGGGGCAGCCCCTCAACCCTGCAAAGGGCTGGCCCCACCTCCTGGAGGGCCCCACCCTTCCTGCTCCTTCTATCTCTAGCCCCTGGCAAGCAGACAAGGTCAGGGGGCTTTTTGCTTTTCTCCCTGCATACCCCCCACTCTCTCTTGCTTCCCTAGGGTAGGAGGAGGGAGAGGAGAGGGATGGGGTCAGAGTAACCTTGAGAGGATAAGGCCAGTCAACCTTGGGAAAGTAGGGAGTTAGCAGAGGGCAGGGTTGGGGAGGGGAGACTGGGGAGCTTAGTGGCATGGGGGTGGGGTAGAAAGATGAGTTTGCAGAGCCCCAGACTCCCAGGTGGTGGCCTAGACATGCAGGTGGCAGGAAAGGAGCTGGACAGCCATGGGAAGGTCTGCTTGCCTGCCTTTACATCCAGGGTAGGGGTGTGTGGGGGGGAGCTAATTAGGGGTCCGGGAATCACAAATGGATAGGGGCCTGGCCTTGGTGAGTGGGGACATTCTTCTTAGGTGGCTCATTCATTCATTCAAAAACATGTATTAAATGGTGTTCATTGTAGTATTATAGTAATCATTCATAATATGCAAACTTTCATAATAAAAATTGGGGGAAATATGAATTAAGCACCTAAAAATCTGCCATGGGAAGGAAAAGAAAATGCCACTTCTAATTCCCAAGGTGTGCATAGTCTTATCTACTGACCCTATACTACCCTGCTGGAAGCAGCCTCAAATCCTTATTGTAATGAGGTGGATAAGTGGATGGAGTTTGGATAGATGATACGGGGATGGATAGATGGATAGAGAGATAATAGATAGATAGATGATAGATAGATAGATAGATAGATAGATAGATAGATAGATAGAGGCCGATCCATTCTTCAAAGTCATTGGGCCACTGGGAAACAGCTTGGGCTGCCCTACCGTACCTGTGACGCACTGCCCACTACTCTATCCACCACTTCTCTTGGGTTGGGAAAGGGTGGGAGCTGGACCTTCCCAGGCTGTGGTTGGAATACGGTGATGAGCAGGTCTTAAGCGTAGAGGAAGGAGGGCCTGGACTGCATGTCTCTTCACTGAGAAAAGGATCTTGGCTCCAGGAAACGGGTTGAGGGGGCTGACAATGATCTGATAGGGTGGGTTCTGGTAGTGGTGTGGGGAGGAGAGTAGGAGACCTTATAGGATCCATCTTACACATCTTCCTACAACTCTCTTCTCAAGCATCTTTCTCCCCAGCATTGAGAAGTTCTACCTTAAGACCTAAATTCCACTCACTGCTGTTCAAGCCCATTACATCTCATGTTGTGGGGCCAGAACAAGCCTGGGCAGCCTGTACTTGCAGAGCACACGGGGACAGAGGGGGAGCAGCGATGGGCACGAAAGTAGGCCACCATGACCTTTGGCACCTATCTACCAGTTTCCTCTACATTTTCTATCTCCTGGTGCCACTTAGCCCCACCCAAGGAGTCTTTTCCTGCTCTCTGCTGAAGGCTTTTTTGTATGATCTCAAGTGACTCTCAGATCCAAGTACTCCAAGCACTCATTCCTACAGCAAGCACGGGGATCCCAGCTAAGCCTTCAAGAGCAATCTCATTAAAGTGGTTCCACTCAAGGAGCAACTGGGTGGCTCAGTGGTTGAACATCTGCCTTTGGCTCAGGTCATAATCCTGCGGTCCTGTGAATTGAGATCTGCATCGGGCTCCCTCCCGCAGGGAGCCTGCTTCTCCTTATTCCTAGGTCTCTGCTGCTATCTCTGTGTCTCTCGTGAATAAATAAATAAAATCTTAAAAAAAAAAAGCAACTCCACTCAAGAGTGAAAACCTTAACCTTCGAGGGTCTTATACATGGAAACCAAATAACAGCTCTCCTCTTAGGTGAAACAAAGGCTAGGAACGGAAGGATTTCTGAAAGTGTACAGAACTTCCCATGAGGTCTTGACCCGCCAAGCCAAACGGCCTTCCCTTTCCCCAAACCAGTTATGTCACAACCAGTGGCGTCAGGGCTTGGCTTGCTGCCCTGCTGCTCTGAAAATGTCACAGACCCCAGAACAGAAGGGTCAGTGTCACTTACTTCACATTAATGCTTCAGCACCTCGGTCCCCAGCTATTTCCTCCTGCTCTCCAGTTCAGAGAGACAGAGGATATCACAGCGTGAGGGCCCACCTGAGAGATCAAAGCCCAACCTTCCCATATTACAGAAGGACAAACTGAGCTACAGAGGGAGTGAGTGTGACTGCCTTCAGAGCTTCCCTTCCCTAGCCATTCTAAAATCTTGCAGCCTTCTACATCCCTGGGATTGCCCCTGCTTGCTAGCCCCAGGGCTGTTCAGCTGACAGATCCAGCTTGTCCAACTAATGCCAGATCCTTCTTTGATACAACTTTTGCCTACTTTTCTTTGTATTGCTTTATGATTCATACTGTTTTTTTACTTCGACAGTTTTTGTGATCTTCCTCCTGTTAATTTCTTCCTTGTCTCCCTTTTGCGGCAGGCCAGTGCCAGGTGCCTTCACCTTGAGTCAAATTCCTATAAGGATTTATGAATGAAGATGTGCCCAGAAGGACAAGACCGAATCCTTGCCCGATAGCAATTTCAGTCTAAAATCTAGTTGGGGGGGGGGGCATGGAATGGTTAGAGAACCAGTTAGGACAATCTCAAACGCAGCTGGAGTGGGGCGAGAGAAGAAGCACATCCCAGCTCTTAGCCCTGGGCTGTCCGGGCGGTCTCCCTCCCCCTCCCCCTCCCCCCAAGCCCTCTGAGTCATTCCTTGGCCCTGCTGTTCGTTGCTTTCCAGGGCGGTGGGCAGCCCCCTGGTCATGGACCCTACCAGCATCTGCAGGAAAGCGCGGCGGCTGGCAGGGCGGCAGGCTGAGCTGTGCCAGGCTGAGCCAGAAGTGGTGGCGGAGCTAGCCCGGGGCGCCCGGCTTGGGGTGCGAGAGTGCCAGTTCCAGTTCCGTTTCCGCCGCTGGAACTGTTCCAGCCACAGCAAGGCCTTCGGGCGCATCCTGCAGCAGGGTCAGTGTGGGCCGAGCACCCAGGGGGCTCCTTTTTCTTCGCTAGGGGATCAGAGGGGTGTGTGTGGGGGGAGACTGCCTGAGCCCCCATCTGTCCCAGGGGCCTGTGGGCACCCTGCCCTGACTCTGTCTCCCAGCCAGGCCGCCTTGCCCACCGCATGCAGCACCGCACGCCACCGCGCACCCAGCACCCCTCTCCGTCCTGGGGGGACCCGCCCTCGAAGCCTGGGTGCTGCCTGCTGACTGCCCCCTCCCTGCGCCCGCAGACATCCGGGAGACGGCCTTCGTGTTTGCTATCACGGCTGCAGGCGCCAGCCACGCGGTCACGCAGGCCTGCTCCATGGGTGAGCTGCTGCAGTGCGGCTGCCAGGCGCCCCGCGGCCGGGCCCCGCCCCGGCCCCCTGGCCTGCCCGGCACCCCGGGGCCCCCAGGGCCCGCCAGCTCCCCTGACGGCAGCGCCACCTGGGAGTGGGGAGGCTGCGGCGACGATGTGGACTTCGGGGACGAGAAATCGAGGCTCTTTATGGATGCCCGGCACAAGCGGGGTCGCGGAGACATCCGTGCATTGGTGCAACTTCACAACAATGAGGCAGGCCGTCTGGTGAGTGTGGGCAGGGGTGTGTGAGTCAGGGAGGGTGTGGGTGATGGTGGGGTCTGTGGGAGCATATCTGTGGAAGTGTGAGGAAGTGGAGGGGTGAGCGAGGGCATATGTGAAGGAGAGCCGGCTTGGCAGAAAGGGACCACTTGGGAAGATGGGCTGGGGGCATGGACAGGCATGTGGGAGGTAAGGTGCCCAGCTGAGAACAAGGAGTCCCTTGAGACGCCTGGGAGGGCCTGGAGCTGGTGGTCTAATGGGCAGGGTGAGAAGGAGACACCCAGGGAAGAGAACTTGGGGCCTTTAGCAACCTCCAAGAGCCAGCAGATGGGGCAAAGCTTGAGGTATGTAGAGATCCGGTTGCCAGGGCAGGGACAGAGGAGGGTGACAAAAGCTGAAGATGAAAGAAAAGAGAAGTTGTGGCAAAGGCATGGGGTCTGGAGGTGGAGGAGTCAGGAGAAGTGAGGGCGGCTTGGCAAGGGGCTAGAACAGGCCTGACGAGGTGGAGGCAGGCTTGGAAAGGTGTGAAAGACAAAAAGTAGATACTGGTGAAGGTGGGAGGGAATCAGGCAGGAGCCAAGAAAGCTGTGACTGAACCTGAGTACTTGCCAACTGGCTGCCCACCAAGCCCAGAGTAGGCCCTGCTTGGGACGCTGGCAGTCTCCCTTTCTCTCCGCAAGAAGGAGGGCCCCAGGAGCTCCAGTTTAGGGATAAGAGCTGTCAGGGTCAGATGTTTCCAGGAGGGGATGTGAGAAAGGAGACAGGCCTGGGAAGGGGAGGTGGGGGCACACAAGTCTGTAGATTAGGTTCGAGCTTCCAGAGATGATCTTCCTGGGTCATCTGACACCATAAATCTCTAGTGAGGTTGTAGCAAATAAGGGGCAGGAGTTCTGGCTTCCAGCTCCCAGGAATGCATTGACAGGGGGCCCTCCCGCACCCTATGCTTCAGTTCTAGGGTGCTCTAGGGACACCCTACACACATCCGGTGTCCTCCAGGGTTCAGGCCTGAGGCATCAGGCAAGGGGTAAGAGGGGACCCAGAGAGGAATGTCCAGACAGGCCCACATACCTGTCAGAGAGGGTTGGGGAGGGGTGGCAGGGGCAGACGCCCAGGAGGCCCGCTCTGCGGCTCTGCGGCTCTGCTCAGCCCTGCCTGGGGCTCGTGGGGCAACAACGGGCAACAACGAGGGGGGCCGGCCGGGTTGGCAGGAGGAGTAGAGCCCGACAGCTCCAAACCCTCCTCTCTGTGCTACACACTGCGCCCCCTCCCACCCCACCCCCACTTCTGTTACTCTTCCATTTTTATCATTTTTCCTTCTCCGGGATCCTCTCCACCTTGCCCTCTACTCCTTCCTCTCTTCCTTCCACCCCATGCTCCCCACCTTACTCTAGGTCGGTCCTCTGGGCGGGCCTTCCCAAACCACGCACCCCTCCCCTCTGTCCCCATCGGCCGCTCCTTCGCTCCCCCGCAGGCCGTGCGGAGCCACACGCGCACCGAGTGCAAGTGCCACGGGCTGTCGGGCTCGTGCGCGCTGCGAACCTGCTGGCAGAAGCTGCCCCCGTTCCGCGAGGTGGGCGCGCGGCTGCTCGAGCGCTTCCACGGCGCCTCGCGCGTCATGGGAACCAACGACGGCAAGGCCCTGCTGCCCGCCGTCCGCACCCTGAAGCCGCCGGGCCGCGCCGACCTCCTCTACGCCGCCGACTCGCCCGACTTCTGCGCGCCCAACCGGCGCACCGGCTCTCCGGGCACGCGAGGCCGCGCGTGCAACAGCAGCGCCCCGGACCTCAGCGGCTGCGACCTGCTGTGCTGCGGCCGCGGGCACCGCCAGGAGAGCGTGCAGCTCGAGGAGAACTGCCTGTGCCGCTTCCACTGGTGCTGCGTCGTGCAGTGCCACCGCTGCCGCGTGCGCAAGGAGCTCAGCCTCTGCCTCTGACGCGCCGCCGGCCCCCCCCCCCCCGCGCCCCGAACTGCGCGCCCTTCGGCGTCTGCGGGACCTCCGGACCCCAGCGGGGACCCTGCCCAGCTTCTCCCAGGCCTCCGGAAACTGAGAGGCGGCGGGGCTGGAGGTGAAGGCCCAGGGCACCCGAGTACCCCTCCTCCCTCCGGGATGGAGTGCTCTTGGGCCTGCTGTGGGGGAGACTATGCAGTCGCCCTCCTGCTTTGGCCGCCTATGGAAACCAAAGAGCCAGGCTCTAGGCCTCTGGATGCAGGACTCCTTAGAACTGTTGGCCTCGGGGTGGGTGGGTGAGTTTAGTATCAATAAAGGTATTTAAACCCATAGGACTGGGTCCACAGTTTGGGAGGGGAGCTTGGGGCTGCCATGGGGCCAGGCTTCGCAAGAGGTGTGTAAAGGAAGATGGCTTTGACAAAACTAGCAACTCAGGGGTATTTCTTAGGTCCCTATATCTTCCCATCTATTGGATTAGGCTCTCCTGGCAAGGTGGTGAAGAGTCACCCTTGTCGCATCTCTCCAGCCTGGATCTGCAAGCAGGGGGAAGACCTAAGCCATCTCTCCTCAAAGGAACAGACTGAACAGGTTTAGGAAAAGAAGACCAGAAGCCTCTGGTAGTGTATTCAGCTCTCAGATCATCCCTCATCTTAGTTCTAGGGGACTGTGACACCTTTACCTGCTCTTCTGTTTCTGTGACCCCTGAGGAATTCGAGGGTAGATCTTTAGGGCCACCCAAGCCCGTAGGATTAAAGCACTTTATCAACTGTAGAATGTGATGACACTATGTTATTAGTAACACCAGGACTTTGTTACCATCAAAACTAACTTCACCACCTTAATGTTCAAAAGACTGCCCAGAACAGCATTTCTTAATCACACTCAGAGGGGGGTGAAGCAAAGTTGTCCCAAGGTTTCTCTTGGCACCCAATCACATTTCCTTCCTTCTGGTCCTTTCTCAGCAAGCTGATGTTGAGGCTGAAGTGACAGAGAAGAAAGGTTTGGGATTCTGGATTCTCCAGAACTAAATCCAGAGGATGGGGGAGGGCATAGCCAAATGGCTGGGATTCAGGGCCCCCAATCTTCCCACAGCCCAACCACTGCAGTGGACAATGACTGCCCCACCTGGTTGTGTGGGCAAAGCATGAGCTTTGGATTCAGGCACTCTGGATTTGAAGCTGCTGCTATTGTAGCTGCTTAGAAGGTTACAGAGCCTCAGTGTCTCTAGCTGTACAATGGGAACACGGTTGTGTTTCAGTTATCCATTGTTGCATGACAAACAACCCCAAACTAATTATCTGTCATGATCCAGCGGGTTAGAAATTTGCCAGAACTCAGCTTGGTGGCTCTGCCCCTTATGGCTGAACTATTGGCTGTAGTCATTCACTTGGCCACCTCCTGTGGTGGTTGGGCTGGGCTGGACAGTTTAAGAGGCTCTCCTCATAAATGATTTTTTTTTGAGATGTGGAAAGCACTTAACACAAAATTTGGCACAATGATTTATGTCAAGCTTATATTTGATAAATGGCAGTTACTGTGGGAATGAGGATAGAGAGCTGATTCTCTCAGGGCAGACCCTGAGAAGATACCCAAGTCAAACTAGCTTAGGCTAAAGGAATGAATTATTGGAAAGATAATTAAAAAGGGAATTGTTTACCTAGGAAGTCCAGGGGTAAGACTGAATTCAAGCACAACTGAACTCAGAGGGCCAAATGATGTCATAGGTCTTACTCCCCTGTCTTCTTCCCTCACCACCATCCCCAAGTCTATAGTTTCTAGTTTATCTCTGCTCCTCTTGTCATACTGTCCTCAGTATCTCCTGCTGTTGATAGACTTGCTCTAAATGTCAGCCCTATGTCCACATTCTTAGAGCTGGTGGTCTAAAAAAGAATGGCTTTCCCAGCAAAAGTCCTAAGGAAGACCCTGATTTGGTCAGCTTGGGTCACTTGCCCATCCCCAAACCAATACATCCAGGAAGATGTATTACCAAGACTGGGGCTGGCTCCAGCCTCCTGGAGACCACAGGTATTGGGGGCACAAGGAGGAGATGACAGTTTTTCAAATGAAAAGAAGAAAGAAGTTTTTCAAATGAAAAGAAGAAACTTGTCCTGGATGTAAGAGACGTTAACCATGGTTTCCAGTGCATCTGGCTTCCCTCCCCACAATGCCTCTGCATTCCCCCTTGACCTCGCCTGGTTCAGCCCTCAAGAATCACATCAAGACCACTACAGAGAGGAGGGTATCAGGCCACAGTGGGAAGGAAAGGGCATCTGAGTTCCTGCCTCCTCCTGGCTCCTTTAGGTCAAATGCCTGGGCTTCAAGGAAGAGTTGTGGAGAATCTGAACTCAGGACCTCTCTACTCAAAGGGGTTTGGATAACCTCTCAAGGGGGAGAATGGAATTGGCATCATGGGCCACATGGAGGAGAAATTAAGCTCCCTAAGGGTGGGGTTTATATTCACAGCTCTGCCTTCCCCAGAGCTGGGTTCATACAATAAATAAATAAGTAAATAAGTAAGTAAGTAAATAAATAAGTAAATAAATAAATAAATAAATAAATAAATAAATAAATAAATAAATAAATAAACTAACTCCTGCACTTCTCTCGGAGACCACAAGAGGGTGCACAGAACCCAACTTCCCTGTTAACAGGGCCCAACAGGACCTGCAAGACATCTGGGGAGCTCAGGGAGGGAGGAGGGGGGGCAGGAGAGGGTGGGATGAAAGGAAGCAGGGAGACCCAGGGACAGCTTGGGTCAAGTTGCTGGGGTTCCAGACTGTTTGGGACCTCTGAGCTGACCCAGACCTAGGGCTGGGACGCTTGCCTCCCCTTCTCTATCACCAGGTCCTGGGGAGTGGTGGAGAGTGGGTGATGCTGGACTCCTCCATGATGCCACAGAAGGAAACCGAGGCAGCAGCTTGAACTTACACTGCCCCAATCAGGTGAAAAGGAATTCAGAGGAAGTAGCATGATTCGGTGGGGGGAAAAAAAAAGGCCTAGTATGCTAGCTTGACCTTGACCAAGGTAGTTCGTCTCTCTGAGCCTCAGTTTCCCATCAAAAACAGAGGGTGTCTGATAGCTTCTGGTACCTTGTAAGAGGGCATTACCCTCTTCAAACTGCTAGTTGTGTGCTAGCGGTCCCTCTTCTGTGGCCAAGCCCCGCAGGAGTCTGGAAACACCTTCTGTGAAGGGTGCGCACCTCACTATTTTGGCCATTATCTTGGTCATCTCTAAGCTCAGAGACAGCTCTGTGCTCTTGCACTGCTGCCTTGGAAGAAGGCTGGGCACAGAGCTCAGAAATGCCCCATCACCACCACCCCCTTGTTCACTCAGCTGCTCAGCCCCAGGCAGTCTGAGCCATGAAGGTTCCCTGCTGGCCGGGTGGTGGGGGACATGTGGTACCGGGGAGATGGGGGAAGAGCACAGAGGCGCCCCAGATGTGTGCATGACCACATCAGGAACAGCCAGAATGCAGGCAGATGGGTGGGGAAGCTGCTGGAAAGCCCGTGATCACCCGGAGGCCAAGGGCTCATTTCCCCTTCCTGCTGATGACCAAACATACTAAGAGTTTGGGGACCAAAGGAGCAAGTTATCCCCCCTTACCTTGCTGAGAGGCGCTGGTCTCTGCAGCCGGAAGAATAAGACAAAGAGCTCCTTCACTGGTGTGGGGCTCCTTCCCTCTCCTCTTCACCAAGATAGACTTCTGCAGAACCTCGGATCGAGCCTGGCCTGGTCTGGGCTGGGGCCATGAGGGTCCCACCTGTTCGCACCCTGGCGCCTCCCCACACCCTCCCTTTCCCTGCAACCTCCTCCAGAGTTGCCACAGCTGGAACCATTCTCGGAGCTGCCTTTCATCCCTGGTGCTCCCCCCACCCCCAGTGGCCCCTATATAATTGTGGTCTCAGCTGGCGGCTGCGGGGGCTGGGGTTGGGCTGAGGGCCAGGGCCCAGGGCAGGGCCAGGGTGGGGACTGGGGGCTGCTGATAGGGGTTTGCCCATGGCAGGGGTCATTTGGGACTGGAGCTCCAGTTGCAGACACTCTTTCTGGGCCTCATCCCCACATACGCCAAGGTTGTGTGCCTCCATATACCCTCTCCTCCCTGTACTGAGAGGTGCCCCAGGCTTGGGCACTTTGAGACCCTCCTGATGTTGGGCCAGAACTACCCCCCAGTGTAAACAGGACTTGAGAACCATTATTTGCCTCCTGGGGTTTTCAAAGAAAGGGCCCCTGCTCCCTCTCTTTTACACCTCTATACCTCTATATTTCATGAGCAGTAGAGTGGGGTGGGGAGCAAAGAGACCTTCTCTCGGCAGAGGCAGGTCAAAGGAAAAAAACATCAGCCCTTCACAGCAGCTCAGCAGAATTTCCCAAATGTGGTCCTCACAAAAATCACTTGAGATACCAGCTAGAAATGTAAGCCCCTAGGCCCAGCCCCTGGACAGGCTGGTTCGGCTGCATGGGCCCCAGAACCAGTATTCCCCATGACAGCTTACATATGATGCACCAGGCATGGAAGGGCTAGTATGAGCACTAACTGGGGAGTAAGGAGGTCATGAACACATTCCCTGTTCCACCTTGGGCCTCTTCCTAATCCTTTTTGGGCCTCAATTTCCCCAACAGCCAATGGCCACATAATTCCCCAGCCTGGCTTGTCCTTGTGATGCCCTCTGCTGAGCCTGGTCCTGCCCTATCCTTCCCCATACTCTTCCCAACTCTAGCCAAGCCATCTCTGTCCCTTCAGCAGGGCGAAGGAGAGCGGAGTGGGCAGGGGGCAGCCAGGGTCAGACAAGGCTCTGGCTGACGCAGACTGCTTCCTGCCCCCGGCTGTTTTCCTGCTGTCCGGCCAGACTGCTCCCCCCACCAATGCCCCACCCCCACCCCCCGCAGCCTCAAGCCCTTAATTCCTGACAGCTGCGGTGGCTGCCGGCAGAGATGGGGGGAAAGGGGGGGGAGGATGCCGTCAGCCTGCTGTTGCTCAGGCTGCCCCCACCACCTGACAGTCTGGGGACAGGGAAGGCCCCACCCCTCTCCAATTCCCTAGGGATGGGCAATTCCAGGAATGGGCCCCTTTTGTCTCAGAGCCCAGAGTTTGTCCTTAAACCAGGAGAGGACAATGAGGTTGGGAGGGAGGTGTGTGTATGTAGAGTGGAAGACTTGTGCCCATTTTACAGAGGAGGATGCTAAGGGCCCAAGTTAGAATCAGAAACAGAAGCCAGAGCCTCTGTCCCCAACCATCTGGTTTCTCAGGCCCTTGCCTGGGTCTAGTATACTCACCACGTATTGAGATGAGTTCAATGTTCAGCTGGAGCGGGAGGACGTGAAGGAACCCCAGAGAGGAGGGGGCCTGAGTCAGGAGACTGGTTTTGGGTGGCTCCCAGAGAACCAAGTACAGGTAGCAGGGCCAGGGCAAGATCTGGAGCCTCTGCAGAAAGACCCAGGCAAGCAACACTCAGGGTTGGGGCCCTTGCTGCTGTGCTCAGGGTCAAGAGAACGGGCCTCGGTTCCAGCTCTTCAACTAATTTGCTGTGTAACCTTGAGTAAGTCATGGCCCTCTCTGAGCCTCATTGTTTTATTGTGAAATAAAAGGGGACAAAAGATGACCCCCCCAAAGCACACTTTTGGGATGAAAAGGCTCACTAATTCCTCTCCTAGGGTGTGTCACCCCAGGGAGCTCTGCTCCCAAACAAGCTTTTACAGAGTCTCAGCACATTTTCCTTCACAGGCTCACTGTAGATGAGGTGGGCTTCAGTATGACCTCATTTCACAAAGGGGCAGAGGGTGGCTCAGGGAGCACCAAACACCTGTTTAAGGTCACATAGGGAAGAAGAGCAAAATCCAGAGGCTGCCAAACCCCCTTACAGGACCCCCCACACCTGCGGCACCAGCCAAGCCTGGGAAGTCCCTCCTGAGGTGGGAGAGGCAAGCAGGGGGGCCAGCCCCTCCCCTTCAGACCCTGCAGGTGTGTATATTGGGGAGGACCGCTCCGGCAGCTGTGTCTCGGCCAGACACACACACTCTGCCGTACCCCACAGCGTGTTACACAAACCAGCGCCCGGGCACTGGCACCTCCACGTGCACGCGCACACAGACCCCCGACACCTCTCCCTCCCCCGCCCTCTGCACCGCCGCTCCCTCCCGGAGTCCGGAGCGGACGCAGTGGCCTCGGGACCCGTGCACGCCTCCACCCCCCTGTCGTGACGTCACCTAGGGTAGAGCCCTGAGACACGGGGGGGGGGGGGGGGGAAGGGGAGGCGGCAGCTCCTGAGCCGGGACAGTCACTCACTCTCTGGGCGGTGGGGCCGGGCACAGACAGCGCCGCCCCCCCCACCCCCCCACCCCCCGCCCGCCTCGCACGCTCTCGGAAGCGCAAGCTCGCGGCGCTGCTCTGGGGGGCTCCCCGGCACCCCAGAGCCTCTCGTCCCCAGCCCGCAGCACCTCCGGGCCCCCCCTACCCTCGAGAGGCACCGGGAGTTGTCGCAGGGGGGCCTCGGGAAATTCCCTGGACCCCTGTGCCAGGAGGTGCCCGGTGCGCCCGCCCGCCCCCCCACCCCGAGGGCGGTGCCCGGGGGCGCTGCCCCATGGAGCGGGGAGGCGGGCGCCGTCTGCTCCCGGAGCCGTGACCCGAGTCGGAGCTGTGTGTCGCAGCCGCCCCGACCCCCGCGGAACATGCGCCGTCGCCCCTGGCTCACCGGTCCCGCCGGGCTGTGAGCCCCCCACTCCTGGCCCGTGACGGCCCGCGCGCCATGGGCAGCACCCACCCTTGCCCCCGGCTGCGGCTCCGACCTCGGCCCCAGCCTCGGCCCGCGCTCTGCGCGCTCCTGTTCTTCCTACTGCTGCTGGCTGCCGCCGTGCCCAGGTGAGCCCTCACCTCACGCCCCGCCCTCCTGGAGAGCTGGGACCCCCAGCCACGGGGGGCCTCTGGCGCTCCTGCTGGGGCAGGGGACCCTGGAAGGAGGGAGGGACAGTGTCGCAGGAAAGTGCTGGTACCCAATGAAAGACACTGCCCTCATAGGATGTGACAATCTGGGCAGTCCAGGGAGAGGAGGCAGTCAGTGCCCAGAAAAGTGAAGGCTACTAGAAGAGGAAGTGTGTGTGTGTGTGGGGGGGGGGGACAAGTGCCAGCCTGGAGGCCATACCAGCTGAGGGAATGCACCCGCACCCCCAGGAGAAAGCTCAAACCGCCTTGCTCCACCTTGGAGATCACTTCCAGGAGGGGCCATGGGTTGGAGACTGGAAGGGAGTAGTTCAGGTGGGGTCACTGAGACACTGCAGCTGGAAGGGTTCTCCATGTGTGTGTGTGTGTGTGTGTGTGTGTGTGTGTGTGTACCCTGCAAGTTATGTTGTAAACAGCAGTCTGTGTGTGCACATGTGTGTGACTGAGAGCTTATGGGTTGATGTACATTAGGATGAGCACATGTGCATGCTTGCGAGCGTCTTTGTGTATGTGTGTATAACTATGTCTGAAGTGTGCATGTTGTGTAAGTGTTCCTGGGCCACCTCAATGTGTGCAGAAGTGTGTCTGTGTGAATGTGACTATCTGAAACAGGCTTTGGGAGTGGTCTCCTGGGGAACGTAGGTGAGCATCTATGCCTCAGGATGTACTTATGAAATACTATGTGTGCAGGCATTTCAGATGTGTGTGCATTTACACGTCAACCTGGGTGGGTGTGCAGCTGGGCCTGTGGTGTTCTAGGAAATGATGATGAGGGGAGCAAGGCCAGGAGAATGCTTTAGGAATATACCTATAGGCCCAACCTTTAGAAGCAAAGATTGGAACAGATGGATTATGGCCTTTGGGACAGAGTGTAAATTGCTAAACAGGGGCCCTCCTAGCTCCCCCACACCTACTCCCCCACTGCCTTCAGGTCTGCACCCAACGACATTCTGGGCCTCCGCCTACCCCCGGAGCCTGTGCTCAATGCCAACACAGTGTGCCTAACGTTGCCGGGCCTGAGCAGGAGGCAGATGGAAGTGTGTGTGCGCCACCCAGACGTGGCTGCCTCAGCCATCCAGGGCATCCAGATCGCCATCCATGAGTGCCAGCACCAGTTCCGGGACCAGCGCTGGAACTGCTCCAGTCTGGAGACTCGCAACAAGATCCCCTACGAGAGTCCCATCTTCAGCAGAGGTAGCTGCCCCCTGCCTTACCCTTCTGCCCACCCGTCCAGCACACCTCCACCCCCAAAACCAGCCATTCCCAACCCACTCCCTCAAGCTGGCAACCTCCTCAGGTGCCCATCTACCAGCCACGCTACTCTTTTCTGGTCTTGGACAGTCCATGGGGCAAAATGGGGCAGACAAATGGGGCAGATGTGTCTCCCACCTGGGCTGCATGGGCTGAGGGTAGTAGGTTCCACACCTGAGAGTCAATTCCTGGGTTACCCTGCCCTGTCATTGACACTGTATGTCTCAGGCCCGGGAAATAGCCACATCTGTCACCTTCCTCGATTTACACTCTACCTAGTACACAGCATTTAGGATGGAGAGCCTGTGATAAGGTGTCCAGAGTCAGCATGAAGGACTTTTGCCAAACTGTATAGGTGAGGGAAGCCTGGGCAGGTAAAATGTCTGTACTTCTGCAGAAGCTCTTCCGGGCAGGGTACACCACCAGTCTCTGTGTCATTCCTGCCGCCCCCGAAAACCTTCTCTGAATCAGAGGCACTGGGTGTGTGCATGCCTCCTGCCCAGCAGGCCTGACAGCTCTGCCAATCCCTCTTCCCCTCGCAGCCCAGAGAAGCCGCAGCCCGCTCCCTGTCCTCTCTCTGCGACTTCTGGGTGACCCAGGGCCCACCCTGACAACCCCCAGAGTAGCTTGGGCTGGAGATGGCAGGAGGTTTTGTCACCCGTTTCTGTTCACACCCACCTCCTGCCCTGGTATCTTAGGCCTTCACTCAGGTCTTTGGGGGAAGATGGGAGTTATTCATCTTTCCTCTTAGCTGCCTGAGTGGGACAGTGTGGGGACCTGGCTCCTTGGGACTTGTCCGGTTCTCAGTTGACAGTGGAGGAGGGGTACCCCTATACCCTGTGGCTTTGGGGCCCAGAGGCTTCTGGGAGAGTCACTCTAAGGGACCCTAATTTCAGAAAGAACTCGCAAAATGAGGACTTTCCCTTTCCACCGGGACCCCTCCTGGCATCCCCGGGGGGGCCCCCAAGTCAGGGGCCACGGCAGCCTCCCCCAGCCCAGCCCCAGGCCGCCCGCCCCGCCCCCGCGCACCCTCCCCCCTCGCTCCCCCGCGCGCCCGGGGCGCTGTTTCTACCCGGCCGAGCCCAGCCCGACGCGTGTGGCGGCATGCAGCCGCGAACTAATCCCCGCGGGCCGCAGCAGACAGCTCCCGGCCGAGCCGCGCGGCTCTCCAAGGGGTGCCCCCGCCCCCGCCTCCGCCCCTGCCCCCGCGCCCGCCCCGCGCGCGTGCCCGCCCCACCCGCCACGCAGCACCGAGCCCCGCCAGCTCCGCAGACCCCGGCCCGGCGCCGCGCCCTGCCCCGCCCGGCCTCGTCCCCGCCCGGCCCGGCCCCGCCGCCCGCGCTCGCCCACGCCACGGGACCGGCCCGTGTCTCTCTCCTGCGCTGGCCCCGCCGGCCCGGAGCTCGCCCTCCGGGTCTCTAAGTGACCTGCGCGCACCCCGATGCCCCTGGTGTTTCCTCCCACGCTCGCGCCCCCCGCGAGGAGGGTCCCCCCGGAGCCCTTGCTTTGGGTTCTGCTCGCGGGGCTGGGGGGGGGGGTCGGACAGGTGCTGGGGTTCTCGCCCCCGCCGCTCAGGGTGAGGCAAGGCAAGGCAAGCTCTTGAGCCCTCTTCCCGGCCACGGTGTCCCCTCTTCCCTTCTGGGCCTCCTGTCCCCTCTAGATAGAGTGAACCCACGCGTCCCGATTTCTTTGCCCGCGTGAGGCCCGTGTGGCCCGGTGGAGAGCGTGGGGTCGGGGAAGCTCAGGGGTGAGTTCCGAGAGCGGTGGATTGCGCGGGGTTGGCGAGGCGCCAGGCGCTCCCGGGTTCACCTGCAGTTTAATAAGCGGGAGGTGAGCTGGGGGGACTGGTGGGGGGGAGGTTAGGGGTGGAGGGGGGAGACTTGCTGGGGCTAGCCGGGGCGGGGCGGTGCCCAGCGCGGGGCAGGGGCGGGGCAGCGGCTCCAGGGCTCTGGCAGCAGGGGGTGTGTGGGGAGGGGGTGCTGGCTCCTTCCTTTGGCCTTGGAACACTGTCCTACCGATGTGGCTTCTGCTCCCGCATTGCGACAGCCCATTTTCCACCTCTCTGTCCTCGGACTGGACTCTGGGCTTCTGGAAGAAGTTGCCACTTTCTTCCTCCCGGGACATCATGACAGCCCTTCCCTCACTCCATGTCTGGGTTTACCCTTCACCGTACGGGGGGGGGGCGGTGTGTGTGTGGGGGGGGGGCGGTGTGTTATTTCCCAGCCCATCACCTCAAGGACTAGCTACATTTGAATTCTAGGGGGCCACTCTTGGTTGCAGCCAGACCCTAGACTGGGTCCTTCCTTCAGTCTCCCCTCTTTTCAAGTTGTGATTTGTTTCATGTGGGGTCAGGTGGTTTCCCCCAAGTGGAATATAGGGCACTGACCCCTCTTCCAACGCAGACTGTCACTGGGGTTCTCTTAAAGGTGCATTCTGACATGTTTAAAATTCAGAGATGGCTGGGAGGAGGTGGTCCCTGGGCCTTCCATCTTAATGCTGTTACTGCCATCCACTTGTCCTGGCATCTCCCCTGAAATGGACTGGGTGAAGGGATGGGGTTCCAGTGTAGAAGGGAAGGGTGCATGAGCACCTGGAGTGGCAGGGCATATACTAGGGCTTTACCCAGCCCAGGAGAGGGCATGACAGGGTGCTGGAACCTGGGTGGGTAGGGCAATGATATCCCCAGGGTTTTGTTCTGAGGACGCAGACAGTTGGTATCTGTGTGGGTGAGGTGCTAGGCAGCAGATCTAGAGGGGAATCCCTCATTGTGAGGACTAGAGCACCCATCCATCTCTCATTCCTGATGCAGGGGCAATGGAGTAGAAGGGGATGGAGGAGCCAAGGAGAGGCTGGTAGAGGCAAGTGTAGTAGATTCAAGCAGCAGGTCCTAGGAGCGCCCACACGTATTGGTAATGCCCTCTCCTAAGGCCCAGACCCATCTGGAATGGATGGAAAGAGGGGGCATGAGGCCCTGCAGCAGGCCAGGCTCTCAGCCCAATGGAAGCCCACAGTTTGAGAGTCCAGCCTCTGTTTTCCAAGGCCCTGGCTCTTTCTTCTCCCACCTTCCTTTTACATTCATTCTTGAGGAGTGTTGGTTTTAGGCCTCGGTCTCCAGGCTTGGGGTGAGTGGTGGCACTCAGGAAGACAGAGGCTTAGGGAGTCATGTCCCAGGATCACCTAAAGTTCCATTATTCTAGTAGCCCTCAATAAATTAGCGAATACGTATTAAGTACTTGCTGTTTGTCTGACACTGTTCTAAAGCACTTTATCTAAACTTTAAGATTCTCAAACAACCCCTATGCAATGGGCCCTATTAATATCCTCATTTTACAGATGAAGCTGAGAGAGGTTGGGTAACTTGCCATTAATCACACAGGGACTTAAAAGGAAGCTGTAGAGACAGGACTCAAATGTAGGCCTGCTGACTTTAGAGATTGCACTCAACCCCTGCCCTGCTGCCTCCTCGGCTCCCAGGCCACCATGAGCTCCCATGTATGTCCAGAGTGAGTGTACAATGGAGGAGTGGCCCAAGAAATGAAACTGACATGTATACACAAAAGCACACACACACACACACACACACACACACACACCTACCTTTGTTTGTGCAAACGTGTAGCCACTTCCACTGTCACCCCTAAGCGTTCCCACATGCACACAACTCCCTCTCTCTCAGCCCAGGCACATAAGCATGCACAGATTATTTGCATGGAGGGGATGGAGAACAGATCTCTCCCCTTCCCTCCCTCTTTGATTCAAATAGGCGGGGCTCAAGCTTCCCTGACCCCTCCTTGTTCCCCTCTGGCTCCTGAATCCTCTCTCCTCCAAGCTCCTCTGCCCTCCAAACCTCCTCCCCCAGCCCCATCCTGGCCCTTGGCTGCGGCCTGGAGCAGCAGCTGACTCCACTTAGATGCTGGCAGTCCCTGTCCCAGATCAAAGGCAGGACGGCTAATTGTGCGTCTTAACAAGCCCCCCCTCCCTCCATGCTCCAGGCAGCCCAGCTGGCCATGGCCCCACCCCTCTCCCCCTCCAGCTGGCCAGATGGCACAGTGCCTGCGTCTGCCCCAGACAGTCGGGGCCAGGACCGAAACTGGGGCCCTGAGTGGGAGCTGGGGGCAGACCCAGTAGGCTGGACTTCTCTGAATCCTGGATGCTTGGAGCAGAGGGTAGTCACACAAGTCCTGGCCAGTCGCCCCTACATGTGGCTGTGACAACTGCCAGAGGCCATGGCATGGTGTCTTTAGCTGCCTAGGACAGGTAGTCTCTGTAGACTGTGAACTACATTTTTCCAGATTCCTCTGGGCCTGCCTCTGAATATAACAGAACCTGGAAGATGGTGGTTGGCCTAGCACATCTAGGAGGATGGAGGTTGGACCAGCCTCTTACTCTTTCTGGATGCCATGTGTAGATAGGGTCATAGGAACTGCGAGCTGGGCTACCTGGGGTTCTTATTCAGGAGCATATCTTCCCTAGAGCTGAATGTCTTTTAACAGGAAGTTGCCAGGCCTGGGAGCTGAGAGAACTGGGGTTGGGTTTGCTACATAACCCCTGTGACCTTGGGCATCTCCCTTTTGTACTGTGTGTATGCATATGGGGGGGGGGATGATTTCTGAGGCCTGGGATGCTTCTGGAAGTCTGAGTATTGCTATTTGTCCTAGCAGTGGGCTGGTGACGCCCCTCCCGCCAGCAATAGGGGGAGTGCTCAGAGTTCCAGAGCTAAAAGGCAGGGGATGAACACAGGGTGCACTCCCCAGGGACTTGGGTCTGTCCTCCTTTCCCCTGGGCCCCACCTCCCATGTCAGTGTCTACTCCTCTGCAGCTCCCACCAATTCCCGACATGTCCTTAAAAGGCTCCAGCCCAATCCTCATCTCTTTTTGTCTGCTCTTAGCTGGGCTCCTTACAGAAAAGGTCCTGAGATGCCACAAGCTGGAGAGAGAAGATAGACAGGGACGGCCTGCTTCGTGGGTTTCTGTGGCTCGTGTGATTTATTCTAAAGTGGGTCATGAGCTGCTGGGCTCTGTCCCTGATTGGGGGAGACAATAACCCATGGCCTGACACTGCAGCTGTAGTGAGTGGAGTGAGACAGAGGAAGAACTTATCAAAATAGCTAATGTTTGTACAGTACTTTCTGTGAGTAAGGTACTCTTCTGAGTACTTTAAATTTACTAATTTAATTCTTGGGACAATAATGCAACAGATAATAGCAATCTCATAAAAGAGAAGACAGAGGCACAGAGGTCAAGTCACTTGGTCAAGGTCATGTAGCTATTAAGAGTCAGTAAGTGGAAGAGCTAAGATTTGAACACAGACAGTTTGGCTTCAGAGTTCATATTTTTAACTACTACATGTCTTGTCTTTGGGCAGGGGTGGGGTTAGGCAAGGACAGGAAGACAGGACCCTGTGATAGGGTGAGCACGGGGGGTGGGGAGAGGCAGGATTGGGCTAGGGTCTCTGTCCAGTCATGGTTGGCTCTCTGAGGTCTGTGGGAACTCCCAGAACATGTCCTTCCAGTCTTTGATGCCAGGGTGGAAGGAGCCAGGGGTTTTTCCTTTGAATCTCTGGCCTCCTACAAGGCATTAAGTCTCCAGCCGGGGTCTGGACTTCCCCAACAGGTACCTACCGCACAGGTGAGTCCTCCTCTTCATGTAGAGGCTATGATTGTTCCTGGCTGCTTCTCCCACTGGCCACACTCTTCCGGTTTCAGAGGCTGGTCAGAGACTTATACCGGAAAATGCTACTAGCTGGTCCCTTCTCAGAGGAAGAAGCCACTTGTGGGTCCAGGAGGCAGACCCTCCTCTGCAAGCAGGCCTCCCCCTCTGCCAGGGAGGCCCAGACCTATCAGGACCTTCCCAGAGGATGGCTCAGGCTGGGAACACCAAGGAGAAAAGTAGTGTAGACCAGTCCTGGGCCCCTGCGAACAGCTCACCGGGGTCTTTATGCCCTGTAGCATCCCAAGGAAGGTGTCTGCCTTAGCTCACCCTTCCCTCTCAACTTTGAACACTACTGCAGGGCACTGGGCTGACTTCCAGCATTCCTCAAACAACCTCTTCAGATGACCTAGACCCACTGCAGGCGGGGTGGCTGGGCGGTACCCTTTTCTGAGCAGTTTCTGGGATGCCTGTGGACAGGAAAAGGGAAACCTCTGCTGGCTCTTTTCTCTGCCTCCTGAACTTGGCCATCAGAGAGGGTTCTGTAGTGGGCAAAAGGAGATGGCACCAGGCAGGCAATCTTGGGGCTGGGAGCTGTAGGAGGACACCATCTCCTCTGACTTAGCCTTCTGCCCATGAACATCCTCTGGGCCTGGAAGTCCATTGCCAGTGATTTTTTTTTTTTTTTAGGTTGAATTTTGCCTTCTTTCTGCAGGCTTATTTTTAAACGGCAGATATCACTTGAGAGGTAATAGATTAAGTCCCTGATCTTAAGAAGCGTGTTTACCAGATACTTCTGTCCAACAGGATAGAGGTAGACACAAATTCTGAGCTTGCTAAGGGTGATGCTAAGGCAACAGGGAATCAAGTGCCAATGAAAAGAGGGCCATGGGGGAGGCCTCCCCCAACCCACCGTGCAGGCAGGGCATCTGGTGTGATTTCTCTGTCCCTGTACCAGACCTTCCCCCCAAAATTGGGCCTTGGTTTCCCCTTGGTATGGGAAGAAGGTTGGGCGGGAAGGGCTGAGGGTTGAGATATCGAGGCCCCCCAGAGCCTGTTTCCTGGATCTGCACCCTCAGGTTTTCGCGAGAGCGCCTTCGCCTATGCCATCGCGGCAGCTGGGGTTGTGCACGCCGTGTCCAATGCCTGTGCCCTGGGCAAACTGAAGGCCTGCGGCTGCGATGCCTCCCGGCGCGGGGACGAGGAGGCCTTCCGTCGGAAGTTGCACCGCCTGCAGCTGGACGCGCTGCAGCGTGGTAAGGGCTTGAGCCACGGGGTCCCAGAACACCCGGCCCTGCCCCCTGCCAGCCCCGGCCTGCAGGACTCCTGGGAGTGGGGCGGCTGTAGCCCCGACGTGGGCTTTGGGGAGCGCTTCTCTAAGGACTTTCTGGACTCCCGGGAGCCTCACAGAGACATCCACGCACGCATGAGACTCCACAACAACCGAGTTGGGAGACAGGTGAGAGCCCCACCTGCCTGGGCCTGCTCCAGATCCCTCTGCCTAGGGCCCCCCCCACGCCCCAGGCCTATCTCTCTTCTGGGGACCACACCACTCCCCCTAGCTCAGCAACTATCTCATTGCCCCCACCTAATCCAGTCGCCAAACACGCATTGGATACCTACTGTGTGCCAGGCACTGGACTAGGCCTGGGACACAGGAATGAAACCAGCCTTGTCCTGGGTCAGCTTCCCCTCCACTGAGTGGCCTGCTCCTCCCATTATTTTGCAGTGAGCAATGGAGGGGGCCACCGGGCTGTGGTCTGGGCCTCAGGGGCCTTGGCCCTGTTCTGTCACTGTCACCTCCCCTATAAAACAAGAAGGTTGAACTGGATCACCCAATATGCCCAGCAGCACCCCCCCATGCCCCGCCCAGCTCTATGTTCCGTGATTCTGTGTTATCCTGTGCTATCCTGTGCTGTGACCCTCTACCCCCTCTCCCAGCCCTTTTTTGCAGGATGAGGGATTCCTGCAAGGGGAGGTTCTTGGCCCTATGTTATAGTTTGCATCGTTGCCTTTGTCTCCCCACCCTTGAATGTTTATACTACATCAAAGGTCATTCATTAAAGAAGGAAGGAAGGAAGGAAGGAAGGAAGGAAGGAAGGAAGGAAGGAAGGAAGGAAGGAAAAGAGAGAAGGGAAGAAATAATTGCTTGAATTTATTGAGTGCTTCCTATGTGTTAGGCACTGTCTGGAGGATGTCAGTACATAGTAGCCTCTAATTTAATCCTTACAACTAGCTATGAGGGTACTAGTATTAGCCTTGTGTTCAGATATGGAAACTGAGGTACAGGGAGATAGAGAAGCTTGCCCACGGCGGTGCAACTGGTCTGGAAGTGGTAGAGGCAGGATTCATCACCAGGTGGCTGAGTGTTGTCTGCACTATGTGCACGCCTCCGCTAAGATGCTCCCCTATCCCTCATCGTGGGAGCTCGGCACCCTCCTTCCCTGGCTTTTCAGCGCCCCCACCATCCCTTCTCTCGGACCTGCCTGGCCTGCCTTCAGGCCTGCCTCACTCAGGCTGACACCTGCTCCTCCTCACTCCCCTTTCTCCTGGCCTGTCAGCCTAGGCAGTTTGTCTTCTCCTTCCACAAAGACTTGGAGCTATTCAGCTCTTCCCCTCTTGACTTAGGGATGAAGTAAACCGAGGCATTTCCACCCTCAGGTCACATCCAGCTTCCACCCAGCCCTGCCCCGTTCACGCAGCTCTTTTCCCAAGCTTCCATACTATCCCAGCCCATACCAACACTGCCGCCTCCTCCTTGTTAAACTGGCTAATTAATGGCTGCTGCCTGTGGGAAGCAAATGTTCTGGAGTTGTTACCAGGGGAGGCCTTGGGCTGGTTCCTCCGTGGTGCTGACACCACGGGCTGCACCCACAAGCCAAGGAACCCTTTAAGACTCAGGGGACAGAGTCCTTCTCTTGTGGCCCTAACTGCCCAGGTGAGAGGGCTGGGGACAGTGATCATTGCTCTCCTGGTCTGAGGGTGTGTTTTGGAGTGGAGTTGGGGAAAGGAAGATGTGGCCAACTGCTTCTGGTGTCTTTAGTGAGGGTAATGTCAAGGTGTGCTTTGGGAGGAGATTCTAGAGCTGGTTGAGGGCTGTGCAGGGGGTTGGTAGGTTGTGTTCCTGTAACTACCTCCCTTGGAGGCTTGGGGCCTTCTCACTTCCACTGGGCTGGGGATCTGGCCCTCTGGGGCTGGTCCCATTCCCTATTCAGGTAGAGAGCCTTAGGGCTCCCCTTGGTGCTCAGTACCCCTTAGGAGGAACTGCGGCATTCAGCATGGGGCAGAATAAGCCCCAGCTAGTATAATGGGGGAAGGAGGAGGCTCCCCAGCTCTGTTCCCTCCTTGGGCTCCCTGCAAGGGGCTGCAGGGCCCAGAGGAGAGGAGGAAAGGGGTTTTCTCAGACTCCCCGCAGCACCCACTCCTGCCTGGATCAAGGCCAGAGGCTTTGGGGATGGGATATAGTGGGGCCAGCACCCCCCTGCTCCTGGCCCCCACCTGAGGGATGGAGGGAGAGGGAATTTCCCTGAGGATCTGGGATCCCCCCTCAGGAAGCAAGCGCCTCCAGCCCCAAGGGCCCCCTGCAGCTGCTGGGAAAGGAGAGGGGTGGGGGAGGAGGGAATTCCCCGGGGGCCGGCCTGGCAGGGGCGGATGGGAGAGCAGCAGGAGGGCAGGGGGTTCCTCTCGGGCCTGGGGCTCGGAGCTGTGCGCCCCCACCCCTACCCGCTCCGCCCCTCCCCGCCTGCTCGGGGCCTCGGGGCCTCGGTGGGAGTCGGGTTCTGAAGTCTCCCCGGAGAGATTCTCCAAGGCCGGTGTCCGCGCTGGGAGGAGGGCCGCGGGCTGGCCGCGGGCGTCACCCCTCGCCATGCCCCCCTCCGCAGGCGGTGATGGAGAACATGCGGCGGAAGTGCAAGTGCCACGGCACGTCGGGCAGCTGCCAGCTCAAGACGTGCTGGCAGGTGACGCCGGAGTTCCGCGCGGTGGGGGCGCTGCTGCGCAGCCGCTTCCACCGCGCCACGCTCATCCGGCCGCACAACCGCAACGGCGGCCAGCTGGAGCCCGGCCCCGCGGGGGCCCCCTCGCCGGCCCCCGGCGCCCCCGGCCCGCGGCGCCGCGCCAGCCCCGCCGACCTGGTCTACTTCGAGAAGTCGCCCGACTTCTGCGAGCGCGAGCCGCGCCTGGACTCGGCGGGCACCGTGGGCCGCCTGTGCAACAAGAGCAGCGCGGGCCCCGACGGCTGCGGCAGCATGTGCTGCGGCCGCGGCCACAACATCCTGCGCCAGACGCGCAGCGAGCGCTGCCACTGCCGCTTCCACTGGTGCTGCTTCGTGGTGTGCGAGGAGTGCCGCATCACCGAGTGGGTCAGCGTGTGCAAGTGAGGCCTTGCCCTCTGGGCCCGGCAGCGTCGCCTAGGCTCCTGGGAGAGGAGTTTGGACTAGCTGATCGCACAGGAGCCTCCCGGCTCTGAGGGTCAGATCCGCAATCAGGGGACTGTCCAGTCGTGCCTGGACCCAGCCCCTCACTTCTGTGGGCTCCAGGACAGATTTGCCTCCCCGCTCCTTGCCCCAGGCGCAGACAGCTCAGTTGGGCTGGGGATTGCCCCCTACCGGAGGGCGGGTAAGGACATGAGTGTCAGCCAGGCAGCCTCTGGGCCTGTCTCCTTTCCTGCCTTCACCGCTTCCCGCGGAGAGAGAGAGTGCGTGGAAGCCTGGAAGCCGATGGGCAGGGGGAGGATGATTAGAAAAGAAGAAACGGACATAATTGAGCTGAAGTGGCTCTGTAGAGGCCTCAGTTGCACGCCCCACCCAAGGGCCTGTGCCCCTCCTCATTCATTTAACAAATATTTATTTTGCACTCCTTCTGGCCTGGCACCCTGCCGGGGACGATGGGTGCTGGGGATACAGATGTGAATAAGAGAGACACAGCACCTGCCCTCTTGGAGTTTACATTCTGCTTGGGGGAGATGGATAATAAACAAATAAATACACAAACAAGTTCTCAGACAATGCTCTGTGCCATGACGAAAATAAAGCGTGGTGCTGGATGTAGAGTGATTTGTGGGGGAGTGGGGCCCCTTTATTTTTTTGTTTGCATTAAAAAGAACTTTTTATTTGACTTGACACACAATATTACATTAGTTTCAGGTGTGTGACATGGTGATTCTACAAGTCTATGCATTATGCTGTGCTCACCACAAATAATAGCTGCCACCTGTCACCTCAGGATGCTGTTACAATACCATTGACTGCATTCCCAATGCTGTGCCTTGTATTCCTGTGACTAATTCGTTCCATAACTGGGAGCCTGGATCTCCCACTCCCCCTTCACCCAATATGTCCATCCTCATACCCCCTTCCCTCAGGCAACCATCAGTTCTGAACTCTGTATTTATAGTTCCAATTCTGCTTTTTGTTTGTATATTCATTTGTCTTGTTTTTTAGATTCCACCTATGAGTGAACTCCCATGGTGCTTGTCTTTCCCAGTCTTATTTCACTTAGCATAATACCCTCAAGGGTCATCGTGTAGTTGCAAATGGCAAGATCTCATCCTTTGTTGCAGCTGCGTAATATTCCATTGCATGCATGTGTATATGTTTGTGTATATACACACACAGAGAGCCTACATCTTTTTTATCCATTCATTTATTCATAGACACGTAGGTAGGAGTGTGGCCCTGTTAGATAAAGCCGTTGGTCTGGGAAGACCTCTCTGAGTTGTGTTACTCATGTTGAAACTGGGGCAATGGGGACTGCCATGCACAGACTGAGGGTAAGGACTTACCAGCAGAGACCATGTGAATGCAAAAGCTCCGTGGTGAGAAAGATCTCCTCTGGAGGAACAGCAAAGAGGCCAGTGTGATTGGAGTGAAGGACTCAAAGGGCAGGTTCGCAGGAGAGGCACTCAGAGGGCAGGCAAGAGTCACATCACATTTCCCCCTGGGCCAATGTAAGCGGTTATGGGCTTTAAGAGGAATGAGAGGGATCCCTGGGTGGCGCAGCGATCCTGGAGACCCGGGATCGGATCCCATGTCGGGCTCCCGGTGCGTGGAGCCTGCTTCTCCCTCTGCCTGTGTCTCTGCCTCTCTCTCTCTCTCTCTGTGACTATCATAAATAAATAAAAAAATTAAAAAAAAAGAGGAATGAGAAACTTCAGAGACTCTTAAGCAGATGAGTGTCATGGTCTGATTCCCACATGGATTGCTATACAGGGAACTGAACGAAGAGGGGACAAACTGACAGCAGGGGGCCAGTCCATCTTCCAATCCAGAGAAGGTGCTTTCTGGATAGAAGCCACGAGATGTTGACAAGAAGCTGGCTCAGGAGCTCTTGATGCCAGAGCTCTAGCTGTCCACCTTGTACCTAAGCCCTCTGCCACAAGCCAGGGCGAGTGGCGGTGCCCAGCAGCACCCTTCGGCAGAGACAGGCACTCTGAGAGGAGTAATCCTGGGCAAGACCCAGCTCAACCCAGCCAGCCCAGCGCCCCGGGGAGCAGGTGGGGCTAGGAGGTGCGGCCAGGAGGAGGGTGGCGGGGGAGGGCCAGGAGACTCACTGTCTGGATTTTGGTCTCTCTGAGTCCATGCAGGGGAAGTGGGGTATGTAGGTAAGGCCAGAGGTGGAGAGACAGCCTTCTTAGGCCTCTTGTGCCCCCAGATTCCCAGCTCGGGTGCCCTTTGGCAAGTCAGCAAGCCTCCTTCTCCATACCCCAAAAACACTGATGAGCTGGCAGTCTGGGTCCAGGGTTGCATTCTCCTTGGCTCTCAGATCTGATGTTTTTCTGGAATAGACCCTCAGGAGGGTGGTACAGACGGAGGTAGGGTCAGGATCTCAGAGAAATAACACTTCACCTTCATCCAGACCTCCTGCTGCTCACAGGATCCTGCTGCCTACCTCAGTTTACCCAGAATGGCATCCTTCTTGATGGATGAAGTCTTATTCCTTTTCCCAATTGTCAGCCTACACAAATCCCCGTATTTCCCTAGCCCTCTGGGTAGGAGCGAGAAGGAAAGGAGGCTCTCATGATGATATACCCCTGCAGGCTCAACAGTTGGGAGCTTTGCCCCCCTAGGCTTGCTTTCAGCCTCCCTCTCTCCACTGCCTGCATCCCAGCAGCTTCTGGACATGCCTAGGACAGCAGGGCCTTCCACGTGCTCAGCTCTGCTGCTTCTGTGGAGGACAGGGTTTCTCTCCCCAACCCCCAAAAGACAGGCCCACAGGCAGGCGGGTGAGAGTCCCCCAGGGAGGAGGGGTAAGCAGGAGCAGCCAGACACACCTGCCTCATTCCTTTCCTCTTGTTCACCCAGGAGAGAGCTGTGGGGGCTGGGTTCCCTGCCCCCTTGCTCCCTCCCATCCCAGGGAGGAGGAGAGAAGAGGTGTGTGTTTGGGGGGGGGGGCGAGTGAAGGCCTGGGGGGGGCACTCCCACTCCAGCAGGGTCCACCACAGCATTAGCTTTGGTGTCATCCTCTAGTGCCTTCCAGGCTTAAGGAGGACAGAGCTGGGGGAGGAGAGACTGAAGAGGAGAGATACAGAATCAGGGTTGGGATAATGAGGTAGGAGCAGGAATATTGCAGAGCATGCTGCCTCCAGAGGGAGGGGTGGGTGGTGGGGTGGGGCAGGGGCTGGACACCGCGTGGGGGGGGGAGGGCCATGTTCCACTCAAGAGCTGTCGAACTAATCTATGCTGGCCTGACCTATAAAGGAAGAGAGGGAAAGTTGGGAAAGGGACAAACCAGGTGTTGCCCGCTCCACATCCTCTCTCTGGGCCAGAGGCTGACTGGAGTCTGAAGATCAAAGGCAGACCCCCCCCAGTTGAAAAGAGGAATGTGGGATTTGGCAAGGGCCCTAAAGGGACACGTGGAAGTGATGAAGGTCAGGAAGATAGGGCCCGAGGGGCATCAGGCTTAGGCATACTGGCTGAAGGGTGAGGTGGGAATCAATGCACCAATTGGAAATAGGGGGTGGTGGAGGTAGATGGGAGGAAGAACTTGTCAAAGTGCTTGGGGAGGACCACGGTTGCAATCTGGGAATAAAAACATGGTGAGCCATAGATCAGAGGGGCAAGGAACAGTCCTGGTTCTCAACACCTTTCGCCTTGATGGCCCCTGGAGGTGTCCTTGCAGGAGGAAACAATAGTATGGTCTACTGGAGCCTGGATGGCCTCAACAGGAGGGAGGGAGAGCACTAACAGAGAATGAGGACAGATCTGCAGGCAGGCTTAGGATTAAGGGTCAGGGAGAGGCAGCCAGACCCGGGTGGGGAATCAGAACCCAGGCATCCTGCTTACCAGTCACCCAAGGTCCCAGGGCTGAGAAAAGGACAGAGGCAAAGGTAGGGGCCCTGGCAGCTGGAGGAGGACCCTGGTGAGTGAGAAGCAAGGTCAGCGGCATCCAGGCCCTGCTCCTCCCAAATTAGTGCGTCCCCAGCTAGCCCCCGGCAGGGGGCCTTCCAGGTTGGAGTTTGTCCAGGCCGGAGTCGGGGCCCCCTCCTCCCCTCTGAGCCCCCCCTTCTCATGTGGTTGCCGGCAGCTGCCTGCGGTCGCCCCAACCCCTGTGCTCAAGGCACGGGGACTTTCCAACAGGGGAAAAAATGACTTAATGAGAGTGGGAGCCGGGGGCGGGAGGGACAGGTCCCTGTAATCACCGCTCCACTGTGGGGCCTGCGCGCCTCCGGGGCCCTTCCCGGCTTCCTGCTGCCAGCGCCCCCCCTCAGGCTCCGCTGGGGGAGGGGGACGGACGGGGACAGGGGATCCCTCTTCAGGTTTCAGGCTCTCTGGGTCCTCCGGCCGCCTGTGCTCCCTCGGCTGCGGTGCGTGGAAGCTGGAACGCCCCGCGATCCCTCTCTGGACTTTGTCCTTGAAGTCGCGCGGGGTGGTGGAGGGTGGGCGGCGGCCTCTGCCAGGAGCCGGGGTCCTCGGCGGGCTGCTCGGAGGGGTGAAGGATCGAGAGGAGAGCCCTGTGCCACTTTGCGGCTGCGCACTTCGAAACGCCCCCGGTTACTGTGGCAACCAGGGCAGTCGAGGTGTGTCCGCGGGGCTGGGAGGCGCCCACTCCCCCTTTTCTCGCCGCCCTCGGGGCCAGGCCCGGCCGCTGCGGTGCGCGGGGGTGGGGGTGTGCCGTTACCATGGCAAGGGTGCGCTAGGAGGGCACATTCTTCCCCAGGGTGGGAGCGCCCTGGGGATACGAGAGGGGGGGTGACGGGGGCGGCAGAAAGGGGAGCGGGGGGGGGGTGGTGGTGGAGGGAGGGTCAGAACGAGGGAGGAGTCTCGGACGACATGAACCAGGGCTCCTTGGGGTTGGGGTGGGGAGTTTGGAATCTGGCCCCCTCCGCCTGGCTCCCCGCAGACGTCCCATTCCTCCGCCCCCCCCCACCCTCGCTGGGGTTCAAGCCCCTCAAATCCCTGGTTTCCGGGGTAGGGATCCCCAACTACCGACTCGGAGGTCTTTTAGCCTCCTCTGAGGCCAGGCTCTAGCGTAGTGTCTGTCCCTTTCCCCGCGAGCGGAGCTGCAGCCCAGACTGCGACCTGAAGGCCTGCAATTAAGCCCCCCGCCCGCCCCTGCGCCGGCCGCCGGCTCTCTGCCAGACGGGCCTGCACCGTCAATTACAGCCGCACGCAGCAGCTGATTACTCCGGAGTCAGGGAAGCGGCCGGGTGGGGACCGCAGGCTGGTCCGGGGGTCGGGGTCCTCGGGGTTGTCCCCAGCCCGGGATCCTTAACTGGAACTTGGGACTGCCGCCCTCCAGCGCGACTTCTCCGCGTACGAGGAGGAGGGGTCTACTCAGTGCTCCGTCCTGCTGTGCCTCGGTTGCTCTCTCTCTCTCTTTTTAAAAGATTTTTTACTTAGATAGAGAGAGAGAAGCAGAGATACAGGCAGAGGGAGAAGCAGGCTCCATGCAGGGAGCCCAACATGGGACTCGATCCCGGGACTCCAGGATCGCGCCCCGGGCCAAAGGCAGGCGCTAAACCGCCGAGCCACCCAGGGATCCCCCAGTTGCTCCCTT